GGGAGGGGGGGGGGGATGCGCGATGAATTGAACACCGAGCCGATCGTCGAAATCGCGCGACGCTCGACGCATCTCGACGGAAAGTCTTCGCGAAACTTTACGGGAAGCACTCGCGATGACCGCGCGCGCACACGGTACTCACCTTCTGGCGACAAACATCGCGGAGAAACGCGGTGCGAATTCGAACGCGCGATTCTCGGCAATCGCGGCGGCGCGTTTCTCAACGACAACTATCCGAGAGCCATCTCGCGGATCTTGGGGCAACGACCGATCGAAGCGGCGACAACATGGCGTAGTTATTTGGCGGAGGGACGAAATTCGAGATGTCGGCAAACGCTGAAAGTGCCGCCTAAAAAGAGCGAACTATCGCGAGAATATAATCGACGCGGTTGATTGCGGGACGAAAATATGCGCGTAATGCGCCTGCAGTCGTTTATACGGCGCATGTCTCGATGAAACGCGCGGGGGGGGGGGGGAGACGCGCGATGAATTGTCGAAATCGCGCGATGCTCGAGACATCCCGACGGGAAATCTTGGCGAAACTTGGGAACGGGAAGCACTCGCGATAACCGCGCGCACATGGTATTCACGGTACTCACTTTCTGGAGGCGAAGATCGCGCGGGAAATACGCGGCGGATTTGAACGCGGGAGATTCAGCGACCGTCGTGGCGCGTTTCTCAGCACTGCCAACCGAACGCGTTCGAGAACTACCGAAGCGCCATCTCGCGAAGCCGGAAGTAACGATTGGCGAAATGGCGCCGTGGCGGGAGAAATTCGAAATATCTCCAATAATTTTTATAAACGGTTGAAACGTGATCAGCGCGGACTGACCGTAGAACGGGAACTTTTGCGCGCGTTTGCTGTTTCCGGCAGAATGTTTAGAGAAAATATTTCTATGTGGATTCCGTGCAAATAAGAGCGCATGTTGAAATCATAAAAATAGCAACCGAGAAGATATATTGAACGTGTTGCGACGAGGATATAATTTTACGAGAAGTACTCGCGATAATTAATCGTTTTTAGGCAATGAAGATTGCGGAGAGCAGAACGAATTCGAATGACTTTACGGTCGATGCGTCTCAGGATTGATCAGTAGCTCGAGAACTGTCGAAGAACAATACCGTAACTTTCTACGTATCGAAAGACCCCATCGCGACCTGTTGAGTGTAATTGTTTCGCGTGGGAAACTAAATTCGGATTATTTCCATTATTATCAAGCGGCGGAAGAAATAATGTTCATAAGAAATCAATCAGAACTGTCGAGTATCGAAGATAACATCGAAATGGCGCATTCGAAGCAGCCAACTGCAGTAGCGGCATTTACTGTAAAAATAGAGTACAAATTTGATTATCGTTAACAGGATGCTCGTATGCACAATATTTACATGCCGAAAATTTTTTGTTTTAGCGGAGGCGGTAATTTCTCCAAGAGCGAGGTAGGATTCACCTCGATCGCCACCAGCTCCTCGTTGTTCAGCCAATTTAAGTAGGCGAGGTGCTGCAGAGATTAAAATAAAAATTCTTACTTCCTCCCTTCTCCATCGACAGTCGCTTGAAACGGATATATTTTGAATGAGCAACGTTACCTTGTACTTCTTGACAACTTGAAACGTATGTTGAGACTGCGAGCTGGAAAGTGAATTGCTGTCTTCCGCGCTTTCCCCATTTTCGCGCTTAGGAACCTTCGCTTCTCTGTCCAATAAATTCTCGCCGTTTTTATTCATAATGTACACGCTCGAGTCGTCCTGCATTATTATGACATTTTCGTTGCGCGGATCGAACATGACGTTCGTTATCGGGAACGGGCGCGCTAGCCACTGCTTCGATATCCGATTTTGCAGGTTGTCAGAGAAGTCCGTGTAGGCCTTCGTAAGAATGTTGTATTCGACGATCTGAAAATCAATCGTTTGCATCATTATTAGCGAGAGCATCTCAATACCGTGAAACGCACACATTGAGAATATTAATTAATTCCAAAGTATCAATTTTAGAATTGCTGTTTCAGTTTAGAGCCGATTTTTTAACGCGCGTCCCCATTGTACGTCTTACAATTTAATATCGCCCGCGTCAAAAGGTAATAAACTGTAGGACTTCATAAAGTCTGTACGAAGGGATAATTCAACGACGGAATTATAGCGACAATTACGTTTAACGCCGTCGCGTAAAAATAAAACTATACTAGCAGTTAACAGTAAATTGCGAAATTTTTACTGCCTCGGGTCATTAACGTTGTACAGCGTTTTACGACACGGCGCATATTCGAGTCGGTTATCATCTTAATGTCGACGTACAACGCACTATGCGCATTACTCGTTTTAAATCGTACCATGTATACAGCGCGCTATATTCACCTTGTGATCGGAATACACCGCGACCAGATTAAGCGTACTTTTCTGCACGGCCATCGCCGTCACCGGACAACTGTACTTGGGCAACTGCCAGGCCTTGAGCGACTCTGCCGTTACACCGTCGCCGATAAAATACACGGCGACGCCGCGTCGCTGGTCCGCGCATACGAGATACTTGCTGTCCGGAGAGAAACACACGGGGCCAACGTTCTTAATGGACTCCCTCGTCGTCTGGAACGACCCGATGAGACTCAAGCTCTTCTTACTCACTTTGAACAGCGTCACGGTATTCTTGCTGCCGTCGTTGTTAATGGCAGCGAATAATTTACCGTTTGGACTGAACAGCATCTTTTGTATTCGTTTCATGGATAAGTCGGTGTCGTTTCTCGACAACTGAGCATCTCCCTCCACCACATCGAAATTGAAGACTCTGACGTGGGTGTCTGTCGAGTAGACGATCGTCTTGGAGTCCTTGTTAATAGCGCAAGAGATGATGCTATCGTTACCCTTGGTTTGTAACTGCAACAGCTTGATAGGTTCCTCATCTAATTGATGCAGCATGGAGGAGCGTATTAATTCTGGCGGATCTTTGGTGACCGAGCCAAGTCTCCACAGCTCCAGATAGTTTATGTACCGTAACAGGATGCATCTAGATTTTTGACAGATTATGGCACAGGGCGGTTGCAACAGCGGTGGATATTTTACAAGATTTTTCGGCGGGTAACTCGACACTGCGAGATAACCGTCTACCCCAGCCGAATAGAGCTTACCATTGGCTTCTACGAGCGCTCTGACATCGTGAGTATGTAACCGCCTCTCGATCCCTTTCACCCATTGGGGCTTTCCACTCGATTTCAGGATAACTTTGCAGAAGGTCCTCACAACTGGGTCTACGCCCGCGCAGTATACCACGTTCATGTCGCGCGACAAGGTGATAGACAATATATCCGCTGTGTGGCTCTCGTGGGACTCTAACAAGACTCCCATCTGAGGGTCCCAGAAGCACAAGAAGCCTTGAGAATCGCCGGATATTATCGTATTGTCGTCGGTGACCGCGAGGCACCAAACTATCGTGCTCTCCTTCATGTTACTTCTGGAAGTTGTCATTTTATGTATCGCGTGCCCGGATATGGCGCTCCATACCCTGACAGTGTCCGTGGAGCCTGTGTAGATCATCTCGCCTGTGTTGTCCCACTTGATACACAAAATCCTCCCTTTCTGCTTATCAAATATTCTCTCGTAGATCAGTTTCTCTTTATGCACAGTGAAGGTATTGATGTATCCGTCCTCGGTGCCGACAGCCAGGCGGGTTTTCTCTCGGTTCACGTCCATGCACCAGGCTGCTCCTCCTATCGCCATGACTTCGTGCTTGACACTCAGCGTTTCCAAATCGTACTCGACTACCGCGCCGTGAAGACCCGTCGTGAACAGCCTGGAGTCGATCCAGAGTATGCTCTCCACTGAGTTCTCGGCGTGACCGGCTATGGTGCACTCGACAAACGGTGCGTTCTTCACATTCCAGATTTCGATGGAGTTGTCGTTCCTTCGGGAAGGGGGAAAAAACGAGAATTAGAATGTGTTCAAGGAAAATCGCGAGTGCAAATGCCACCGCGAATATTTACTACACGAGTATCGAGTGTACAGTCGTAAATGCGTGCTGTCTAACCTTGCGAGAGCCAACTTCTCCGTTTTCGATTCGTGACACAGGCACGTCACCGACTTCGGCTCCAGATTGTAAAATCTTATGTTATGTATACGGTACGACGCCATGATTGAATACTTGTCCCTGCAATTGAATCTAATCTCACGTGTAATTGATTACACTCGATGCGCTCATAGAAAACATAACCGTTAACTATCGCGCGCACGTGGACAGAGCCAAACTTCACGGCAATTCCACCATTGGGTAGTTAGAGCAGAGAGAGGCCCTGAGAGCTGTCAGCCCGGTTTTACGCGATCCTCGAACGCGATGCGCCCGCTATGGGCATTAAACACGTGAGCACGAACTACGTAGCCAGTGTCCACGTTTGGGCTAAGCGGATAACGCAGATGTGCACGTTTTGGTTGTGTTCCGTGCTGTGTGCATGAAATGTCGAAAATAGAGTTATTATATTTTCGTTTGTGCGTTTCCGATCTATTTCTCGAGTAAAGCCCGTATCAGACTACGGATTGGGATTGGGATTAGATTGAAATTTGACCAATCGCGCAGTAAAGTTCACTAATCTCAAGTTTAGTAACTTTTACTCTCATTGGCCAATTTTCAATCTAATCCCAATCCCAATCCGCAGTCTGATACGGGCTTTACGTTTGCCAATCTCAAGTTTAGTGACTTTAAAGCCCGTATCAGACTACGGATTGGGATTGGGATTAGATTGAAATTTAACCAATCACAGTAAAGTTTACTAATCTCAAGTTCAGTAACTTTTACTCTGATTGGTCAGATTTCAATCTAATCCCAATCTCAATCCGTAGTCTGATACGGGCTTTACTCTTATTGGTCAAATTTCAATCTAATCTCAATCTCAATCCGTAGTCTGATACGGGCTTTACACGAAGCTACTCGGGATGGATCGGAATCGCCTCGTTGTTTCCTAGACATCTACTGTTATTTTCTAGGGATCGAAATCCATTTCGAAAGGTCCCGTAATATACATATACAACCGTGGCTGCTTTCGCGAGAAGATGAAAATGATCCGGATTAAAATGACCCTGTGCTATGATTGGTCAAATCTGGAATTTCATTGAATAAAATTTCAATGTGATGCTACGAAATTTCAGATTTGACCAATCAAAGCACAGGGTCATTTTAATCCGGATCATTTTGATCTTCTCGCGGAAGCAGCTCGTGTTTTCCGCTGATCGATCGCTCGTTCTCCGCGCGATTCAGCGGAGAAACCGGCCGGTAACTTCTCGTCGCGGGGATCCAACGTTCGGCGAGGGAGAGACGCGCGACAACGCGCAAGCGTCCCAGGCCGCGCGACACTCCCTGACGTCGTTGTCGGCCCACTTGGTGTCGCTCGGATTCGGCGGCGCACTCAGTCGAAACCTGGCGTGACCTGGAACTGAGAACTCTCAGGTTGACTCTCTGTGTCACTGTTTACGCGTAGAGGTGCCTTGCGCGCGACTGCGTCGTCCGATCGTCGTCGGCCGCGAGCAAAGTAGCGATTCGCCGCTACGCAGTTTAACGCGCCACAGCTGGCTAAAGCCTACGGCACGGCGAGTAAACGGGTGGCCCGTGCGTGAGACGAGGTAAATACACACACACCCGCATCGGCGTTCGGGGGAGACGGCCGGCTATCGATTGCGACTATTTCCAGGAAGGACGACGGGTGACGCATCAAATCGACGTGTTCATCGCGCGCGGCCCTCGCCGCAGTTTCCCTGCGAGAATTCTCCGGGCCTCGCGAGCGCCGGCTCCCCTCGACTCGCGCGGCGTCGCGTGCGCCCGAGGAGGAAGCGCGCTGCAATCACGCGAGACGATTACCGCGGCTCGGCTCGACGACGCCGCGTGACCTTGCCGTCGCGGGAAGAAATCGATCGATCTACACGGGCGACGTGTAAGGCCGCGTCATCGATTTGAAACGCTCGATCCTCGGACATCCCTCGGGCCGTTCTTTTGTTTGTTTGTTTTTTTTAATAACGCCCTGTGCCCATCGCCTCTACTTCGCCGTGCTATCGCGGATGATTAATTCTATATATATATGTATACGCATGTTGCTACGCGCAGCTTGAACTTCACGGGTGTTAAGCCTAATCTACAATGTGCTCTTTGCGTCTAGAAACATTCTATTTTATATCAGCAAATCAAAACGCTTAAAAACTTTGTCGACAATGTACAATTGTACAATGTATAATATACAATTTATCAACTTGCAAAAATTTTTTTAACATATTTATTGTCTACAAAATAGGATATTTCTAAATGCAAAGAGCACATTGTAGATTAGGCTTTATTACACGTAAATACATCCGTGTGTGTGTGGTCGCACGCGCGCGCGCGCCCAAATTTTTCTAGGCGTCAACACGCGCTGACCTCACTGATAAACGCGATTACTCGCGACAAGATATCGCGGTGCTCTCTAGAATCCGCGACTCACAATCAGTCTTAATTCCAGCGGCGAGACACGAGGAGAAGCGTACGCCCCGCGATATTCGGTAATCTGCACACTCCATTTCGCTTCGTTGCGTTCTCTCGGGACTGGCGTCACACTTGTCGTGCGATACGCTTTCCAGGCGTGTCGATTGGCTGCGGAACCGAAAGTTTTCGGAGACTCCAGAACCTTTGTATTCCGCAGCCGATTATCGCGCGGAAGAAAAAAGTTGTACGACAAACTTAACACTAGGCTAACCGTGCGAAGCCTTTGTCTCTGCGTGTGTTCGTAAACATTAGGCTGTCTGCTTGTTGCAAGGTGTAACGTGAGAAACCCTGCTTATTAAATGCTGTGCGTGTCCCCCCCCCCCCGTTTTGTTTTATAAACCGACATTTGACATACGAACGTGCCAACATTCATACATGCAAGCAACTAACTGTGTGTGATTGGGATAATTTACTTGACGTGTCTCTTCGCCTTCGCTCCTGACATAAGTAACACGTTGCTACCAATTGTCGCGACGATAACGCACTGAAAATTAACACGAACGGGCTTTATTAACGATTGCCATTAATATTTTTTTTGGACCCCAGTACTAGCCGGCTTATTATCGTATCGTTTTATCTCCTTCCTCGATAAGGGAGATAAAATTACACTCAATGGCAGATAATAGAAGTAAAATTGCAAGATAATCTAGATACTTTGTAGCCTGTGCAATCTGTGCATGAGTCAGAGAGACTACATTTAACGGACGAGCATCAGTCGACGACTCCTCAAGTATGGAACGTTATTTTTTTTTATTCTGTCGCGCCTCTGTATTTTTTTATTTTCTTCGTGAGCACTTGCGTGCGAGAAGAATAGACACGTTGTGATCAACAAGTTAGGAGATACAAGATTGTAGGTACTTAAAGTATAGCAAAAGTTACTCTTCGAGAACGCGAGGCTGTAAAGTTTACCTTTCCGCGAAACTACGATGCGTTTGTTGTTATTTCTATTGCAGCGATGCACGTGTGTCGCTTTTAATAAACGACACTTTTATTTGAAACGCGAGTAATATCGATGTAAAAGTAAAGGCTAAGTTTACGTCGATGAGTTTCGATGTCGTACATTTTTAAGGTTGCCGATGCACATTTGTTCGATCGGGGTTCCATTGACGCTCTCTTTCTCGTGAAAGAAGGCCTAGTTATAATAATAGGTTCTTTTTCAGCTAAAACAAAACCAAAAGATGACAACTTGGCAAGCACCTGGTGCGGGGTTCTATCCAGGCCAACAAGGTTCTGATCTTTTTCCTTCCGTTTTTTAATACTATTTTTTTTCCATTATATTTCATTATTTTAACTGTGTTATATTCGGGAGCTATGCCAAAGGCCATTCAGTCAGCAGTTAATCACTTGCTTGAAAGGATATATCATGCCACGCATTCGAATGCACACCGTTAATATAATGATTATTTACAGTCGACACAACACTTGAGACTAGAAAGAAAATTATCAGTCCAGCAGTAACACGTTAAAGAGTACCGTGTTCAGTCACCGTCGACGTGACTCTACAGTCAGTTCATATACTCGTGTGCTACATTGCGGCAGATTTATGCCGGGTGCATAATTTGCAAGCGCCATCGAGAAGCCAATTGCACACACACAGTCATGGAAATGTTTAATTTTACAAAAGCATAAAAACGCGCACTGTGTATGTAAAAATAGTGGCTAGTGTTACTGCACAGAGCTCAAGTTGTTACTGCTTGTCGAGGTCACGCGCGCAGTTGTGATGCATCGTCGACGCTTATGTTCCTCGGATTTGACTGTGCAGGTCCGTATCCTCAACAGAATCCTGGATATCCGCCACCGCAGGAAGGCTACCCGTACCCTCCGCAAGCGCCAGGATATCCACCGCCTTACTCCGGCGGAAATCCACCAGGTAGATGCAACTCGAGAATGCCACCTAAAACATTTAAATCGTCGCGATTGTCATTTGTTTGTTCATCAAATATTTCTATCCTTTGATAGGCCCAGGATTTGTACCTCCGCCGTACGCTCACGCGCCGCCGCCGCCAGTTGGTCCAGATTTCGGAGGAGTACCTTCAGGCCAACCGGGAATGTACGGGAGCAGCTATGGGGAGGATCCTATGCAGGATGAGATCAAAGGATTCGAGTTTAATGACAAAACTATCAGGAATGGCTTTATTAGGTAAACGCCAGGCCCTTAAGCTTTAATATGCTTCAAAGTACACGACGAGCGTACACTTTGTAAATGTGTATTCTTCTTTTATAGGAAAGTATACAGCATTTTGATGTGTCAGTTGGTTATCACACTTGGAATGATTACTCTGTTCCTCTATCACGGACCGACGCAGCGATGGGTCCAGCAGCACAGAGAAATGTTTTGGATTGCTTTTGCCGTAATGATCGTTGTGCTCATATGTATTGTTTGCTGTACCAACGTGAGACGTAAAGCTCCGATGAACTTCATATTCCTGTTTATATTTACGTTGGCGGAGGCTTTCTTGCTCTCTGCAGCCGCGTCAACGTACAAGTCTGAGGAGGTGAGTATTGTTTGTTCGAAACTTAAATTCCGTTCCCGTTCCCCAGACATCCTACATTGCGAAAAGCATACGAGAAAGCGAGAAATAGCTGAAATGTTGCACATTAACATACTCTAGCACCATCAATTTAAAGGAAGATACCGAGAATCTTAACCCGGTATATAATTCTATTATTAATTCTTTAACGTGACATTTATTTATTTATTTATCTATTTATTTATTACCTGTTCATTCTCGTTGTTTGGTCTAGACATTTTGTCACACTGACACTTTTGACAGTCATTTTCCGGCCATGGTAGACATTGTACATATTTTATTTTGTGCATAATTTTATAATCGTGATCTCAATTTTGTTATAATTTTTTACCGTTCAATTACATATTGCAATGACTACATTAATTTTTAAGGTAAGTGACTGGTCGAAGATTTAATTTCAATGTGCTATTTACGTATCCATTTGGTAAACCATATCTTTTATTGTACACGTGATATTTCATTGTGTCTCATTTTACACATTACTATATTGTACAAGTAGTTTTAATTTTATTTATCTATGATAAGCGTTGTAACTCCAATTATTGATTTGTTCCCTTTTCAAATTTGTGCTTGGCCCAAACCTGTGGTCGAAACGTCGCGCGTTATATTTTTAATTTATTAAAAAAGTGCCAGTTGAGGTCGACTAAACTGATCCATTGTTATTTATTACTGGCAACCTAAAGAGATTATCATGTTTAATTCCGTTTGTCTAAATGTACCAAATAACTCTTGTACTACTATTATTACATAAATTATAGCACGTAACAAACTTGATGTCTCTACACGGAAATGCTTTTGCAGGTTATGCTCGCCGTTGGAATTACAGCGGTGGTTTGTCTAGGATTGACACTATTCGCATTTCAGACAAAAATCGATTTTACCGGCATGCACACCGTCCTGTTTGTCGCTGTGCTCATCTTACTTCTTTTCGGTATAATCGCAATATTCTGGCAAGGACGAGTTATAACTATTGTTTACGCCTCACTCGGGGCGCTAGTATTCTCCATGTATCTGATTTACGACACACAAATGATGATAGGCGGGAAACATAAGTATTCTCTCTCACCGGAAGAGTACATCTTCGCCGCGTTGAATCTGTATATTGATGTCGTCAATATCTTCCTGTACATTTTAACCATTATCGGCGCTTCGCGAGACTAAGTAATGTCAATTATGATATTTTGACTTGTGTTACAAATTACTAAAGAATAGAGTCAGTTTTTACTTACCGCCGTCCTGCTCTGGCTCTCTACTTATTGCCCCGAGAGCGCACTGTAGGCGAATGAAGTACGAAGAGATGCATGATATTGGCAAGAGACTTTAATTTCTACGAAGATATAGCTTTTACAAATTTTCAAAGATTAATATACACCAAGAGCACGCTTGTATTCGAAGCCTTTTATCTAGTTCTATAAGACGTAATACAACAAAGTATTTCCCATCGTTTTGGGAAGAAAACCAAATATAAACTCTTATAATTGCTAATTGTAATATGTAGAATAGTGTCATTGTCATTATTATTGTCATAAAAATAATTAATGTTACTTCTTTGCCTGTATCATATTGAGCAACTTATCACCAGAATTGTTTATTAAGAAGCAAATGGTCAACTTTAATTTTATTTCTTTAAAGGACTTAGGTTTTTCAATGTTATCAATAAATACACGTGAATCTTATTAAAAGTATAAGTATGTAAAACCGATTATTAAATATGATTGTTATAAATATATGTATAGCGTGTAAAAATCCAGTTGTAGCGTTATATTACCTGTGGATTTGACTGTAATTTTAGGTAACAAGAGCACTTTGTTGCCTATACATATACATATACATACATAGAAAGTTGAAATTGTGTTTATTCTTTGTTCAAATTTGAATAATAAAACATACGATTTACTTCTCTAGCTGCTATTTCTAACCTTCTTTTTCGATTCCAGATAACAGTGCAATAGTATATCGCAATGCCTCTTCGACAAACATGTTAATACTGTTGTTCGTGATAAGACTATTTCCATGTAATGTTACGTAAACGCGACAGCTGTGTGCGTATTCGTTGAGATTTAAGGGAGCCAATTAGATGGAGTAATCGTCATCGATACTTTTTATCTCAATAGCATCTCCAAAAAGATTAAATCATATACATAGCACGTAATACTACCTTTAATGCTTGCCTAAAACATGTTTACATATAATTACTTTTGTCTGCAGTTTTTCAGCTACAAAGATGCAGACTCATTCTACGTTACGAGTACTATATATACGTATGTGTGCGCGCGCATGCGTCTGCGTGTACGTGTGTGTGTAAACGTAGAAATAAAAACGACAGATTCGAAATTGCGAATATTTGTATTTATAGTAAATCGGCCGTACACAAAACTGTAGAAGCTTTTGGTTTCAAGAGTTCTCCCTAGCTTATACAAATAAGCATGTGTGGTGCGTTTACTTACGTAGGAAAGCGTCCAATGTCCAAAAAGATTATCAAGATCAAAAGCCGACAGCACTCATACTCACACCACTCAACTTGGTAACAAATTGCAGCCTCGTAACGAACAATATGTCCTGGTTACTTTTTCGCTCGTGCAATATTTAACGTGAAGTAATGCACGATGCCAATCTTTTACACGAAGCATGAAGATTCACCGGTGAAAGTGTGTATTTTCCTTACCATCCGTACAAACTAATCGAGTTCTTATATACCACACGTACAGTCGTTACAATTACATATGCATAAACCTGCGCGCGTATGTTGAAACCTATTGACGTTTATGTGGATGTAATTAAAGGCGAACGTAATCTTTTTTAAAAAATATTAGATCGGCCAACAGCTTTTTGTTAGCGATACTCTCGTCACAATGTTGCGGCATAGAAAACATGTACTTTCGTCAGATCAAAAGTGAGATTGGATTACATCTGATCAGGCAGTGTCGTGAAGTGTTTATGTTATGCTTTAAATTACGCTCTAAATCTATATCGAGGGACCTATCCCCAAGTGGCACGAGCTGATACATAGTTCGTTATGCGCCGTTAAAATAAATAATATATAAAATTAGCAGCACCGATTCGAACTCCTCTCTACCCTTCGATCGACCGTCACTCTGTCGGGCGCGTCTTGCGGTTCCTTGCCGTGAGTTTTGTCCAGTATTGCTTCCGCTAGTTCGCTAAATGCACGATCGATATTAATATTCGCCTTCGCGGACGTCTCCATAAATCTAATGCCGTGTTCTCTCGCTATCTGCAAGCAGGACAAGAATTTTGTTTCAAGAGAGCAGACTTACAATATTATTTATTCCATACAATTATTTACCGCTTCTCCCTTTTCCGTACTGACGACGCGTCTCTCTTCCATATCGCTCTTATTTCCTAATATCATTTTCTCCACGTCTTCATTTGCATGCTGCGGGAAACATTTATGGGAATCAGTGTTACGCGTTTGAATAAATCTACGAATAAACCCGCGAATGTGTTTGGAGCAAGCTGTACACTTACTTCGTCGATATTCCTCAACCATTTGACGATGTTCTCAAATGTTTTTTCGTTAGTAATATCATAAACAAGCATAATCCCCATAGCCCCTCTGTAATATGACGTGGTAATAGTATGAAATCTCTCCTGCCCAGCTGTGTCCCTGCGGAGAAAAAAAAAGCGCATAAATGCATACATGATTTTTAATGTACACATGCCAACTCACCATATCTGTAGTTTGATTTTCTTTCCTCTCAATTCCACTGTCTTGATTTTAAAATCGATACCTGAGAGAGGAAAAAGAAAACATTCTCTTATATCCCATTAAACGAAGGAAAAAGAACATTCTGGAATTTCGAGAAACTCCAAATGTACATTCCGCGCCAATTGTGATAATACAAATTTTAAATAATGTAAATTCATTGGTTTTCGTCAGGTCTTTTGTATGCAAAGAGAAAAAGAGCTTATATATTATTTATAAGCTGACTTATGCTCCTCTTCGTGACTTATGCAACGCGCATTTACGCTGGAAACGTGCGACCCTGCCTAACACCTCGCGAAAGCAAAGTGCGACTCGTTACTTTTTGCTCCCGAGGAAAAAGCCGCTGGTAATTGCACCCCGCTCGCCGTGCGTGCATACATACGTGTGCGCGCGTGCACGCACGTGCGACACGCACACGGGAGCGCGATCGGCTCTCGATCGGGCTCCAACTTCACGGAGCGACGACGGCCGCCGTGACTCTCGATAAACCCAGTGCGCCCGCATTCTAACCTAATCGCCCGGGAGGAAGATACCGAGAGCCGAGCTCGTTATCAGCGACGGAGCCTCCACGCGACACACCGGCCTTTCCTATCTCTCTCTCTCTCTCTCTCTCTCCCCCCCCGCTCCCCTTCTCTCACCTATCGTGGAAATGAACGTGGTGGAGAAGGCATCGTCCGAGAAACGGAACAGTATGCAGGTCTTGCCGACGCCGGAGTCGCCGATGAGCAGCAGCTTGAACAGCAGATCGTACGTCTTCTTCGCCATTTCGTCGCCGAGGCTGTCCCGCGCGTCGCGGACTGGGCGCCGCGGTGGAGGAAGTAAACAGAGTAAAACGAGCACGGGCCTGCTGCGGCGCGGAGCTGCGGCGGTGGCTCGCGGTCGTCGGCGGCGGCGGTGGCGGCGGCTGGTTGTCGCGCGAATCAGCCAGTGACGATGCTCCGTACATCGAACGTTACGCACCGGTTATAGTCGCTCAAGGTCGAACGAGGGCGCGTCTCCCGGCGAGCTGCGACGTATATACGTGCGCGGAGCGTACCGTGCCGTATCATACGGGCGAGAGCCGGTCGCGGAGAGGCGGCGGGCTATTAAAAGACGGCGCGACGTCACGCGACGGTGGAGTCAACACGACGCAGAAGCCGCCGGGGGGGTAAACGCGGGGTGACTTTCGGCACGCTCGCTCGATTTCTCTCTCTCTCTCTCTCGCTCGCGCGCTCGCTCCCTTTAATTTCCTTCTTTCTCTCCGCTGCTTCGGTGCTCGGCCGGCCGACAACGCGCCGAGATCGGAGCCAACCAACGGTCCACTGTTACCGGCCGAATGAGCGCGCGGGTGCGCGATTCGCCGACTTGGCGCCGCATCGCGGCGATCTGAGTGGCCAGCGGTGGGGTCTTTCCACGATTTCGGCAGGTTGGGAACACTGACTGCGCGCGGGCCGCGTGTGCGACACTGCTCGGCTACTGTGCGCCGCGTGCACCAGCCACCAGTGCGTCAGCGTGCATCGTGTGTGTATGCATGTGCGAGAGCGCGGCGTGGGCGCTCACGAACGACGCAGTAGGCCGCAGGTGACCCGTCCGCAGCGTGCACGTGTGTCGATCGGCGACGACGAGCCCGAGATCAGCGGAGTCGCGACGGAACATGGCAGCTAAGATGCAGCTCCCGTTCGAGCCACCGAGCTCGGCGAGCTCCGAGAGGTACGCGAGGGGGGAGTCCTCTTCTCCCGTCTAATTACTGCGGCACGTTTTCTTTCTCGTCACGTTGAAAATGACCGACGAGTATATCCAGTCGCCGAAATGTTTTCAGCGACGACGGCGACGTGTGCTTGGACGACCGCGAGATCTTTCTCGCCGACGAGCTGTGCGAGGATGCCGAGCATTACAGGCACTCCGACGTCAGCACGCCGCAATCCCCGAGGCCGCCGTCCACAGGTAGAATCCGTTTAACGGCCGGCTCTCTCGCCCGCGAGGCTTTAATCCGATTTCCTCTTGGAGAAACAACTTTGTATCGCGTGCACTGGAGCTCGGTTTAATCTCGCACGTGGCAGCGATTTGTTTTATTTGCCAGCGAAACCTGCCGGTAGAACCTGTTGGTAGAACTAGCGAAAGATAAAATTATGTCGCTGTGCTTGGTGGCGATAGATTTCTCATATACGTACGTGTGAATGTGTAATTAGTTTCTTTACGTGTGGTTGATGCGTTCTAGTCTACGAGGTGATTTAAGCCCCAAGTCCTGAGAAATTGATCAATCGCAATCGAGTATTTTTCTCATTATCGACTGTGACTGGTAAATTTCTTGCGGCTCGGCGCTTGAATCGTCTATTAGACTAGGACCGACAGAACGATCTGTAAGGCTGGTGTTACATTTGTCGTATGACGAATTTTTCAACCGTGTTGATTAGCTGCAAGGTAAAAAGTTCTAGCTTGTAACCAATCAACACGCTTCAAAAATTTTTCGTACGACAAATGTAACAAAGTACCCTTACTCGTCATCTCTTTCTAACTGTTTCCCTTAGAAAGAGACAAAGAGCGAATTAAGCTGAAGTCAAAATTACGTAACGTTGCAACCTTAGTCAGTTTCATTGACAATGAATCATCTGTAATATAAATTGCATCAGAAATAGATATCGGCGAATGAAGCAACTGTAACGAGATAAAATATGATTTTTAAGGAATTATTACATAAATAATTTAATATATGCCATACTTAAGTCCTATATATAGATGTGCAGTGTGCAGAATCAATACTTTCATGAAGCTGTACCTATAACAGAAGATTCAAACAATCCAATGCCTTAGGTTCCTTAAAGAACTCCTAGACGACAGCCAATACAAAGTATATAGAAGGTTCTCTTCTTACCTTTAATCCTATTCCTTTTATTAATTAAATCCTTTTATTACAGATTATACGAAATAAGTAGAATCGCATATATAAATAAAAGGGATTACATAAAAATAAGTATTAATTATTGCATAGAAATAACGGAGAAAAGTATATTATGTAATTACAACAGGCTCGCAGAAGTCACCACGGTCACGCAGGCAGCGCACTACTAGCATGTCACAGTCGAGCAAGAAGACGTCTGCGGAATCCATTCTCAGGAGCAAAACGCGAACCATTTACACAGCTGGTAGACCTCCTTGGTATAATTCAGCTGGTCAACAAGTGGAACCTTTTGTAATTGGTTGGTATTTATTGTTAAATTTAATTAAAACCCTCTTCAATTTATACCTCGATAGTTGACCTAAATTGTGTACGCGAAGTAAATATAAAATTGTACTACTGGGGAATGTATTTGCGACAGGTATCTGCGGAGGCAGCGCTTCTGGGAAGACAACAGTGGCGACTAAAATTATAGAATCTCTAAACGTACCGTGGGTGACCCTTCTCAGCATGGACTCCTTTTATAAAGTGCGTCAAATGTTCTGATCAATAGTGTTGACTAAAAATATCTTGTACAGTTTAACAAATTTCTCCTTGGCATGGTGGAAAATAATATAGCAATGCTATAGACATTATATTGAATACTTAACTTGCAGGTATTAAACGAGAAGCAGCACGAAATGGCTGCGCACAACGAGTATAACTTTGATCATCCCGACGGATTCGATTTCGAACTTCTCAAGACTACGCTGCAGCGTTTGAAGGAAGGGCGCATGGTGGAAGTTCCTATTTATAATTTTGTAACGCATCGTAGAGAAAGTAGAACGGTAAGTCGATTGGTTGCGATTTTTCCTAGTTTTGCCAGAAATCCACACAATTTGTACAGTTTTTTCCTTCTTTACCGGAAAGAAAACCATGTACGGCGCCAACGTCATTATCTTCGAGGGGATACTTACATTTTACAATACGGACGTCTTGAAGGTAAAAAAAAGATAAATTAACTTAAAGATTGGAAAAGATGTCGAGAGAGAGTGTAACATAATAAACGTTTCATCAAGCTGTGCGATATGAAAATTTTCGTCGATACTGATGCGGACGTCAGACTGGCCAGGCGTTTACGAAGGGACATTTCCCAAAGAGGCAGAGATCTGGAAGGTGTATTGAAACAGTATAGTAAGCATGTGCAGCCGGCTTTTTATTATTACATAGCGCCCCTTATGGTCCATGCGGATATCATCGTGCCACGCGGAGGAGAGAACGAAGTGGCGATAGAACTGATCGTACAACACGTTCATACTCAGCTTCAATTGGTAAATTGCCAGCTTTTATTTTGCGCCTTAATTGTGTAATTACCTGGTTTTAACGATCTCTATGCCGCTTTCAGAGAGGCTTTAAGTTGAGGGAGAAATTAGCGCACTCGTACATCGGTCAACCGTTGCCTTCGTCTTTGTACTTACTTCCAGACACGCCACAGATAAAGGGTCTTCATACATTTATACGAAATAAGGACACTTATAGAGATGAATTTATTTTTTACTCTAAGCGCTTGATCCGTCTAGTCATCGAATATGCGTTGTCGCTGCTGCCTTTTGAGGTAAATACACGTTGCAGGAACGTTGTTAAACGCTATGTGTTACTTTATTTCGTTTTATCAGACTTCAAACAAATTTTATTATAATAGCAAATGTTATGAGTAAGAGTTGTAGGTCCTTTGTCTAATTTTTATGTTACTAATATATATACCGTTTTTATATAAAGGACGTAATTGTCGAGACACCGCAAGGGGTGTTGTACAGTGGCAAGCGAGGTGCAACGGACAAGATATGCGGCGTATCGATATTGCGCGCCGGTGAGACTATGGAGCAGGCTGTTCGCGACGTGTGCAAGGACATACGCATAGGAAAAATTCTTATCCAGACTAATCAGCAGACCGGCGAGCCCGAAGTGCGTACTTGAAGATTTTTTTCCCTTGCCAAGTGTACTTTCGATTGCAGGCCGATGATTCATTTAATTTCTTATATCTAGTTGTATTACCTTCGATTACCAAAGGACATCAAAGACTACAGGGTAATATTGATGGATGCGACTGTTGCGACTGGTGCTGCCGCTATAATGGCGATCAGGGTCCTTCTGGATCACGACGTCGCTGAGGAAAATGTGCTGCTGGCGTCACTGCTGATGGCCGAATCCGGCGTACATTCGATTGCGTATGCCTTTCCGCGAGTGAAAATCGTTACCTCCGCGTTGGATCCCGAGATAAATGAGAAGTTCTATGTACTGCCGGGTATCGGCAATTTTGGCGACAGATACTTTGGCACTGAGCCATCTGATGATTAAGGTGATGTAGAGATCTCTATTTAAAATTCTTATATTCGCTACGTTGTGTAAATTGTGATACAAATGCAGATATCAATAATCATATCTTTAGCAAAAATCGTGTTATTTTAACATTTCTACATGTGTGCCTCGTTATATCTTACACCTATGACATTCAAGTCAAAATGGACTGTTGTACTGCTATTTTCGTACGTTGGCTTTCCTTTAAATGTCATGTTTAAAGAGGCGTTGTGCCAACACCACCGGTTTCCGCAATATCGCCGGCGGTGCCACGTAATTGTCTGTAGCCTCGTGCACTAGCTCGATGGGAGCGTCTCCACGAATCCAGATTGCCACCAGTGGGATTACTTGGCTGGCTCAGAAGATACGTTATTAAACGGTCCAACGCGGCCAAATCTTCGTTTGTATTGCCAGAATTCGCTATGCCTTTGTGCGATCGTAAATCTCCTCCTATTATGTCCTCGACGCTTGCACCGTCTTTTTTGTTGCCTCTACCCGCAGTCCCGCGACTGTGAAGACCAAACCGAGAGCCAATCTACAATTTTTTTGAAAATCTATTAAAGAAAACTGTTAAAGAACATAAAGTCTATAACAATCTATATGTCACAAAAATCTGAAAATAACGTGATATTAAAGTAATACCTCTTCTGGTCCGTGTTGCCCATAACTAAGTCTTTGTACTTTCCTGAAAGTCTCGTCATTCATCGCTTCTCTGACCGCTTCGTTTAGCGTACGTTCCAACGCTCGTTGTTTAGTCTTACTCAATCCATCGTAGAAACTAATTCAAATAAGTATTTTAATGGAGATTATCAGTTTTAATTATAATATGTATGTTTAAGTTATACTCGTGAGATTCATATAAATGGAGTAAGATATAGTGTGATGTAACTTTGATATTTGCACTTGCAGTTATCGGTTTTACCTTGAATCCAAGGAACTGTTATCTCTAGAGATGTTCTTATCGCGAACCAGCCGGATATCGTGCTCCCAGAACCGACGCAGTTCCGGTGTGGACGTGTACGGTGCGGCCACCTCTTTAATCTGCGGTTACGAACGGATGATTACGGTGAAAATAAAAATAACGTACACGCGATAAGAGCGGATTAAGCGTGTTATTTATCAAAATCGGCGAATTTGTCGCGATGTAATTCACGTTCGATGGCGAAGTTGCAATTAACGACGCCCACGTACATGTCGTGTCGGTGACGTAATAATACGGGATGCAAATTACAGCCGTAATTTGCGATTGTTCTTGGCCATTAACAAGCCGCGTCGCGTGCTAACTTTAATTACCTTCAAGACTATTATCGCCGTAATAAAGATGCACATTACATTGATAAACGTCAGACACGCGCTGATAATTCCATTGCAAAAGAATTCTACGGGCAGATAATCGCTGTAGATGTACTTGTAGGTACTATTAAAGTTTGTGTAAGATTCGCCTTTGATATGGGGCATTTTTATAGGCCGATATATGAGCCATATGCATCCCAGAGCCCAAAATAAACCCTGTGAAAAAATAAAACCGCTCTGGTAGTCCGATCAATGTAATCACATTAATTAATGATGGGTGCCCAAGTAGCAAAGGCGGAAAAAGACAACGTATATCTAATTGTTATTATGTAGACGTTAACTTTTTGTAATATATCGACCAATCTCTTCGCGAGGTCGTATTCATCGCAACTTCTGGTTTTTCTGCCTAAATTGTATCTTTTCGATCCAAAATGAGCGTTTAGAAATTGCGAAAAAATCGAGACACGACTTTGGGAAAGAGATCGAAAAAGAGTTGATATGTACTATTGTTTTCTTACGCAATTAACGACGGGCGGTAGTAATGAAGCTGATATGGCGACGCCTATTAACGGCCCATTGCTGCCTTGCAGCAAAGCGACTGCGACACCTGTGCCAGATGGAAGGGCCCAAAGCACGCCCATCCAGAGCGACCTATAGTTGCCTCTATAAAAATTGTCATTCTTAGATGAAATTAATGATTCCACACAATTTTATAATTTTTAGAAGCTGCGTGCAATCTATTGCGTTATTAATAACAGCGTATGGACATTTTTCCGCAATATCCACCTGCCCTTCATTTCATCGGTTGGCCAGTCGTTGTAGCCCCATGGCATTTCGGTTGTGCCGAGGATAAGGCCGAATATGAAGCCGAAGAGTATCGATAAGAAGATGCCGAGCATCAAGCTCTTGAGGCCGACCAGCTGCAGGTCTCTGTCGGCTATGATCGTCCCGAAAGTCAGAGACATCACAGGTCCCTTTGATCAACGAGACGATCAAAAGCGTGAGGTGACGCGCGAACATTGTTTGACGACTAGCAAAGTTGCATTAAAGGGTTTTACCATGAGAGGGGAGACTAGCATGGCTGCAACGACATTGGTTGCACTGTTCTCGACGAGACCAAGTGCAGCGAGGCAGCTGTAAGAGCGTGATTTTCACAAAGTTGATTATTGTTAATACATACAACTTACGCGATAGAACGTAGGGTTTTACGTTCGATATTCCAATGTTTCCCTTACAATTGTATCCGATTTCGTGGCAGCTTTCATGATAAAAAAAAACATTACGATAAAACAAAAATCACCAAATGAGTGATAAGAGGAATTTTTCAAATATTAGACAACTGTTCTCTCGTGGACGAACTTACCGGAGATCTGTCTTTAAATTATTCATTTATCTAGAAATAACGTATGTAAATAATAGAAGTCGTTTTGCTTCTTACTCCGCGGTTAATACCAGACACACGTAATCGAAAGTAAGATCACCGCCACTGCGGACGCCATCGACCACCTGTTTCACCGTCAATTTCGATCTAATAGAGTCTACGAAAGCGTTCCAAGCGTTCTTGCGGTCCTCCGATTCTTTCCGTCTAATCGAGGCAGAAAAGCACACATCAGGTAATAATCTTGCAAACGTATCTACGCTTTTACGCCAGTCTCATTGGCAAAAGTCAAGTCTAGAGAAACCTGCGAGCGACGTCGTCCTTGATTATAGCCAGCGATCCTGCATCGTTGACGCCGCTGTATGTACATTGCGTCGGGATTACGCTAAAAATAAAAAATCAATGGCCAAAGTCACGACTTCGAACGCATTGGCCTGTTTAAAATATTAGATAGAATATGATCAGATTACATTAGTTTACATAAGAATCTTATTAATTTACATTGAAATTGCATGTAATCCAATCCGATCGTATTCTATCTATTATTTTAAGCAGGGTGGAGCCCGCTCGTGCGATTTCTTTAGCTCGACGGAAAGTCACCTTACTATCGAGTTCATTTTAACGCCGATACCCATCTCGGTGAGACAGTGTATGCAGTTTTCGCAGGCGTCGCCGGCGGGTACCGGAAATATCACCTTTTGTCAAAGAGTCTCGTTTGCAGTGGAAATGTATACAGATGGAAATACGCAACTCTTACCATACCTCATAGTACATGTCTTCCTTGTCCTTGCACCACACGACGTGCTCTACTTTCAGTTTTTTTAGAAGCTCTTCCAGCACCTGCGAAAGATGAGCGAACCATGCAATTTTCCTAGTGAACGCCAGCTAACAGTTGCGTAATATAAATGTTATAATTTTCCACTCGACAACACAAACATGATATAACACACGTACATACACAGGCAGGCAGGGGTGCCTGGACATTTCTGTAATGTGTTCTAACACACGCGGAGAATTTTCTTTTTAAATTTACCCTGAAAATCATGACATCTTGAAGAACTTTAGGAGAGTTTTTTTGAAACTTTTCCATACATTTTATTAGTAACCAAGTATAATTACTAGTGAAATGTATGGTAAACTTTCAAAAAGACTCATAAAATTCTTCGAAATACCACGTTTATATGATTTTATGCTCCACGATTATATGATTTTCAGGATAAATTTTAAGCGAAAATTCTCTATACAATTATAGAAATGTCCAGGCATTTCTGCCTGTCTGTTTACGTAACAGTTGCACATTGTTGAGCAGGAAATTATAATATTGATGTTACGTAACCGCTAGTCGGTGTTTACTGGGACATCGTTTTGAAATTGAATTGTAAAAGCATTCGCGGGAAGACTGGCTTTTCAAAAACTGAAGAGCTAGCAAAAAGGATGAATCGTAAAATTAGAAAGTTAAAAGAAAATATGAAGTGCATAATGTTCTACGTAGTAGTGCACATTTTATTGTTTCATCTTGGCGGTTTATTGTAACTATCTGTCTTCCACCGTTACCGTTTCCATCGACACGAAAACGGGCGTTTTCGATCGCGCGGGGTATCCGCGAGCGCGTCTCCTAGGATCAACGGCGACGTCGATGCCGACGTCGCCGTCGTCGTCGCGGTCACCGTCATCGTCGAGCGTGAGCAATTGCGCGCGGGTTTTCGCCTCCTTCAAACGAAGATCCACGTTGGGCGGCGCGATTCTCTTGCTCTTCTCGATCCTCTTGGAGGGCTTCAGCGGCACGCCGAACACGAGTTCGTGCTCGTAGCTCAGAGTGGGAATGCAGACCAGAAACACAACACCCCCGGGCATATTTGTTCCGCATCGACAACTTTATTGCACGAAAATTACTCACGCGACCTGCCGCGCGCGATCGCCAAGGCTGCAATGTGACCGCCTCGGTTTCGTCGAGCGGGCTTTCGGAAGATCGAAGGTGCGATTCATTCATCGGCTTACGATAATTGCTTTATTGCCCGGCTCGTAATTGTTCCGTGAGCAAAGTCGGCTTTACGACGCTGCTCTACGGTCGTAATGTTAGAAATATTCGAGAACCGACGACGGAAAATACTCTCGCTTGGAAATACGCGAAGAATTATGTAGTTGCAGAAAAACGTTTACAATTCTTGTTACAATTTTTCTTTTCAAGGAGGAGCATGTTAACGACGAGGAACGAGAAAGCTGACGTAATAATTTGGAGAAGATTCCTGTCGACCCGCCAGCACCCAAGTGTCGTCGTCAGCGAGAACGATAAAGAGTCGACAGGCGAAGAGAGGTAAGAGACATGAAATAAAAGTACATGTAATGGTCTTTTAAGAAATAAACATTTATTTTCTTTTAACAAATCAACAGCGTAGAGACTAGCACCTAGAGACTAGTCCGACGTTTTTTTTTATCCGGTCTAAGTAACTAAAGGCCGCGAGGAATATTCCATGCGAGGGGAACTTCCAAATCCGTGCGAAATCAGTATTTGTCGTCGCAGAAAACTTCCCGTGTGTATTTCTCTGATTTTGTTTTTTTCTTAATAGAGCGAACTTATACCCTGTCACCCTTATATAGATACAAAAGTGGTTCGGTATCAGAGAACGCGTACGCTAAATTAAGTACTCCGCAAAATACATTTGATGCATTTGTAAGGAAGTATAAAAATCGCAGGGTCCCCCAAGAGCCATGAGGTAAATCGTCAAAAGTCAAAGGTCAAGAGTCTATTGAAGGTCTAAGCTACGACGTTAGTAAAATTAACATTAACCGCTACGATGCGAAAACAAGTACAAGAAAGATTGCGACTTCTTGCAGTGTACAATAGAAGTAACCGGGACGGTCGATGACAAGGTTCCATTGTTGGAGGCGATCCCATTTCCTAACTGCATTCTATACCCGATTCGTATTTTGATAAATCAAAATGAGTGTCCAACTATCAAAAGACTCCCCGTCGACAAAAGTTCCCCTCGAAACTAGAGCAAGAGCTCGACGCTTCCGCTTTCCGCCCGCGCCGAGCGATGGCTATAATTGCATTATTAATTATTAGTAGTAGAACTAGTATAGTAACATACTAGCGACAGTAACAAGTGTAACAATAATAACTAGAGTACCGAATCAAATAGTCGCGCTCCGCTTCTCTCTTTCTTTATCTCGCTTTCTCTCTTCGCAGAAATAATACTAGACGATAACAAAAATAGTGAGGATGAGGATGCTGCTGAGGATGATAACGATGGGGATGCCGACATTTTTCTATCGTCAATCTTCTCTAAGAAAAACCGTATGTACATGCTTCTGGTGACTTTTCGCTAAATATTGACCAAGCGGTGCCGTGGCCGCGCGATATCAACAATGTATTATAACAATGTATATTATCATACACCAGGCACCGTTACTCACGAGTTACGCTTGCAGGAAAGTTTTATTTTTAAGGCCATACTCGAAGGGAGAGCGGCGCGCCTACGCCGCATCTCTCTCGTCTGGTTCTACGCAAATTGGTGGTCGCACCGACCGTCGACTGAACGTCGCGCAACCGTTCGCTTGAGGGGAATTCTCCTAAATTCAGCTGGGGATGCGTCGCTATGGGATGTCGTTTAAGTGCACCGCGACGTGCCGCGTTGCAAGCACGCGTTAGAATCACGACAGCGGGACTGCTAACAATAAGACGCACCTAATGTTCGACTATCGTCGTCCGCGTAGCTGCGGCCAGACTAGCGACTTAGCTTCAATCGAATAATTGAAAATGCGTTAATTTTCGATTCACGATGAAATCGCCCTTCATTATTTCCCAAAATGTATGGTACATCTGAATTGTACAATACTATCTAGTCTATAATTGACAGTTTGATGGGTGCAGAGAGCATTTTTTCAAACCTCCTTAAGGATATCACAAATATTTTCTATCGAGCAATGACGGAGATGAAAATTAAACTTTATCTGTAGAAAACGATGTTATAAAATAAAAGATAAATGTAAATCAATCGTTTTGTCAAAAACTATAGATCTTTTTACGGAAATAACATTATACCGCAAGTTGTGCTACTGGCAGAATTATTTTCGTAACTTAGCAAATTGTGGCAGCAATTGAAGTTTCTAATTCGACTTTGCACGTAACTTTCTAACTAAGTCGACTAGTCTGATCGTAGCCTAATCGCGAAGTATGCAGCAGTGATAATCACCGTTGAATCCGCCCCCCGAGAGAAGGTACTCGTGGTAAATCTTGGGACAAGCTGGCGGCGCGTTTGCGGCGCCGCGCAACACAAGCCAACTTGTATCGATAGCACCGACAAGTGAATTTTGCGCCAATGACAACGACGACGGCGGCAAATCGTACAAATCATCGGCGTTCAAGCACTTCTAGCAGTTCCTTAAGGCCACAGTTCCAAGACGTCTTAGAGACGGATTTAGAAATAAGCCCTTGCTCTTGACAAGCGCCTTCACCCTCGCGTTCACGCGGCGTGCAGAAAAAAATAACAGTGATTCATCGAATTTCAACTTTGTATACGTGTCGTTGCGCTTTCCTCTAAATCGGCGAGCGATCTCGCGAATACCGAACTCGAACAGCAGGTCGTTCATTCCAAAGAGATTCCGCCACATTGTCGCAGCACGGTATGAAGAAATTCATCATTTGTAGACGAATATCTTTGCTCTTCCTTGCCCTCTTCGTGTAACTCATTTAATTTATTAGATAATTATCTAATAAATTTTTATTAGAGTCACCTTATTAAAAAAAATTCCGTTTTCCCAGAGAAGATATTTCTTCTCGTACAAAATTCAGTTTAAAAGCTTCGACGCGTCTTTCGCAATTTCTCTTTCTCTCTCCCTTTGCACTGTCATTTCTCCCGGAGTTCATCAACGTCTCGTTTCGCGCATTTGTGGAGCGTGTCAACAAGATTCAGGCCGAGATTCAGATTCGCGGGGGGGAAGCCCCCTGCAGAAGGCGGCTCGTCAAGGGCAGGTCTTCTCAAACGGGAGCACTCGGTCGTCGCAGGAGCGAGGTGAGCAACGAATGTCTCGGTGGTCGCCGAAAGAGCCGACGTCGCCGACGCTCGACGTCCGCGAAGGCGGACGTTTGCTCCTCGGCGACGGTCCCCAAGGGTCAAGCCTTCTCCTCCTCGTCATCCTCCACGTCCTCCGACGATTCCGACGTGGAGGAAGTGATCAGGGCGGTCGACAGGCTCGGCATGTGGGCGGGCAAGCAGGCGAGGGAGTTAAGGCGTACTCTCTGGACATTCCGGCAGTCCGGCAAGGAGTGAGCCCCGTCGTCCGCCGACTTGTCCACCAAGTGAGCTCGGTCGGCGAAGCCGAGCTCCATCATTGACACCCTCCTCGCGGGCACCCTCCTCGGGTTGCCTGGAAAGGGAAGCCGAAGGTTTCGTTTATTTAAGAGAACCGTCACTCGCGAGCACCGCCTTGGCCGATTATTATCGGTATCCTTTAATTACAGAAATGTATCTTGAAGCGATTTAATATGATTAATCTCGATAATAACGTTGCCAATTAATGTTCTCTTCCATCACAACCGAAAATAGTTTGTTTTTGAACATTTCATATACGCATACATGCAATTTAATAAGTAAAATGGGACAATATTAGGCATACATATATTGGTAGATGCTAAATATATTTTTTAGAGGACACCGGTTTCTCCGCCGCGGCGTTATCGCAAATATCGCAGCGAACACCAATGTCTCGATGATAAAAGAATAAGAGGTGAAAGAGCGATTAATGCAGTAAAGAAATGAAAAAGTAAAAAATGAAAAAGTTTATCTTTCCTATTATCTTTGCTACGTAACAGCATTGATGAACAAAATTAATTTCTACGGATTTCTAACAAAGGAATTGTATTTCTACAACAGGGATTGTACATTTACGCATGCAATTCGTTCTCGAAACAATATTTCCATAGCGAAACAACGGTTAACACGTTGCGGGCACTCGCGTGTCGATGCTCATTTTGCAATTGCCCGCAAAAATAGCCACGGACGTGCAACGCAACGTGAGCGACGCCCGTCACAACGCATTAAAAAATAGCATACGTCAGTGCCTCTCAACGTTTTGCGTCTTTCGGGTGTCACTCGGGACATTTCTTGCCTTACTAATTTATTATCGTTGTACATCGCCGAGTCGTTTGAGATATTGTCTGAGAACTTGGATTTTATTTTTTTTTTTGTTAAACACTGACGATATAAATCTCGTTAAATATTTGAGAATACTTCCTCTGCACGTTGAAAGGAGATGTAGAATAGAGACCGAGCAATTCGTATGTGTGAGAAAAAGAGGGGAGTAAGAAAAGGAAAACAAAATAAAAATGAACCACACGTACCCTCCTTCTGCTTTGCGTCACGTACCCTTGGTTTTCGCGGGGGAATCCATTTTCGCGGGGGTGTACTCGTCCGTCTCGTCCGTCTCGTCGACGGTCTCCTGGCAATCGATACTGTCGGGCGTGCACACGCTCTCGCGTCGAAATAGGCCAATCACGGATTGGACTTTCGGCTGTTCGATCCCACCTGAAAAGCGGAAAGACATAACGGGGAATGTGCAAGCACCGCCGGGGAATAAATAGGCAGTGAGCGATTCCGCGAACTGGAAGTTTTCAGGGAGTTGTTAATCTTCTTAAAGGCAAACTGACTTTACGGCCGTCATGACAGTCTATCGGTTTTCATACTCGTTACTCTTTTACGAAACTAATCGACAAAACTTTAGTATTAGCTAAACCCTTTCATGGTCACATACAAGTTCCATTAACGCTTGTTTGCCTTTCTGACTCCTTGGGAGACCGGTGTCCCGCTAGCAAAGACAAGAACTAAAACTTCAAGACGAAAAATAATTTGTTCGTGAATCGTAAATTCGGTTTGTTCCCATTTTGCTCTTCTTTGCCTAATTTACCTAAGAAAGTGGCGGAAGGCGAGCTGTAGGCGAGGTATTCTTTATTGGAGCACCAGGCTGGAAATTCGTGCTGCTTGATCGGATGACCCGACTCGTAATCGTCCTCACGTTTCCACGGTAACATAGTTTCCGTGGCAGTAGGGGTGGTGACTCTGTAGCCTTCCGCGCCTGGGTCAAACACCGCAAGACAATAGCAACGGGAGTACGAAATGGAAATATGGAACCGTTATGATTTCGGTGGACTCGCAATTTTCGGTGCCGCAGGCGGGGGCAAGTGCCCCGGGCCCACCGAAATTATAACGATTCGAAACCCTAAAATAAATGTAAAAATAAATTAACACACGAAAAGTAACGGTCAGCCATACGAAAATGACGCAAAGAGAGAAACTGGTTCACTGTAACACAAGATCAACGGCTGATTTCGTTAATGCTGCGTAAGCACAAGAAAAAAATACGCTGAAAGAAAAGAAATTCACAATAACGCAAAGCCAACGCTCGAGCTCTTGCCTCCTCTCAAAAACGTACCGTCGCGTCCTATTTTCAAGTCTCCCTCGTCCGTATTTATCGTATCCATCGACGAAGTAGCGGTGGTAGCGTGTTGATTGTCCGCGTTTACATTCGGCGAATCTTTCGTTTAAAGATTTTAAACTTTATTAATCATGACTCTTTTCACGAAGAATAATTAAGTAGCTACAAGTGCACACAAATTGTGGGATGTGATTATCGCTATAGAAAAAAACATGGAGATATCCCAATCGTTTCCTCATCACCGCGCTCGTCGATATATTTTTACCTTCGATCTCATTTCTCAGTTCAATTCAATTTAGTGAGTTAAAGGAGAGTCTTCTTACCAGATGTTCGTGCGGTGAACGTGATCGCCGAATCCCAATCCTCTTTGCTGGAGGGCTTCGAGCTCTCTCCGTTTTCCAGCTCGTACAGCACGCCATTGATGTAATCTGTGCACGAGAATTCATGAAAGGAAAAAGGGAAAGAGATTACAAAACCTTGAGGTGCAATTAATTATCCGCGGCGCTTTTGCACGTACCTTGCGTAAATAACTTTGTCGAGCCGTTCTGTTGTTGGAATTCCGGGAAACTAACGTGATTCTGCTTGCCGTCCTATAGAATCGAAATCGATAAATGGAAAGTAAAAGACGTCGAAATTAAATATGACAAACGATCGAGCCTTACTTTGAGCAACTTCTTGCTGCGCTTGTGGCGATGCTTGTTCTCCCCCACCATCCGTCGAATGTTCATGTGCATTTTGTAATTGACTTGTGTCGAGAGATCGCGATCGTTCACCGCGTGTCGGCTGTAGCTCAAACGCCGATGCTGAATGGTTAACATAATGCTTGTAGAAAATTCTCAGACGCAATACGCTTTAAAATATGATAGAATAGTTTGCATATTTTTTTCATCAACATCTTTTTTTGGTGAAAAAGTATCGAAATATCGAATTGAAAATAAAAGAGCTCTGGTAAATTTCCAGAGAGAAGCAAACGGGATAACAAGATTAAAAAGATATCAAGAACTTGAGTAAAAGTTAGAAAATAGCAAAAATAAAAGTGTATTTCTGCTCGAGATAAATTGACTTAATAGTTGTTAAAGACAGCGCTAAAAAATTCGATAGCAGCGAGATCACGACTTTATTACGTGTAATATATTATATGATAGATCATATATCACGAGTAGACTCTGGATTTGAAGAAAATCTAGGTTCGACCATAATCTCTTACCCTTTTGTATGGTTTACAAAGCTCTTCGGCGAGCAGATGGTGAATTCTCGCGTCCGTCAGATCTCTTTTGGAAGGATTGTACTCCAGTTCCTGCAGATCGATATTCCATCCCGTTTCGAGCTGGCTGCAGCTGGGGCTGGAGAGGAAAAGAATGCGATTAGACTGCGCCTTTATTTTATCAACAATTGTCAGCGGCGTACAACGGGGAAAATTCCGCACCTTCCATTGAACTGTCCGGTATTGCTGTAATTACGGAATATCGCCGACATACTTTCGGTGCCGCTAATGTTGCCGATAGTGGAGGCATTTCTTCTAATGTAATCCAGAGCATCCTTCATCGCCAGCTTCGAGTAAGTTTCCATAATCTTCGGCTCGGCGCCACATGAATGATCTTTCACGAGATAAGGTCGGATGAATTTATTGTCGAATCGCTTGAATCTACAGCAAACCAAGTCAGATAATATCTTTTTAGTGAGAGACAAAGAGAGAGAGAGAGAAGTACAGAAAAAATATTCCAGTAACAAACGATGCAAACAATCTATCTATACCACACTTGATACTGATTCATCTTAATAAAAATTATATTTCCATTTAGATACGTGAAGGATATAGATTGGAAGATATAGATCTTTTAGTCTATCCTGCTTCTATCTATTGTTTTACGCTAATAATTCATAGAGTCTTGTTTGATCGTTCGCAAACATCGCCGAGTTTGCGCAAACACAAAGTTACTTTCCATCTTGATAAAAATGTTCTACTTCCATTCGGGCATGCGAAAGGTACAGATTAGAAGGTATAGACCTTTTAATCTAATTTCGCTTCTGTTTATTACTTGATGATGGTAACTCATAGACTCTTGCTTGATTGCTCGCAAACATCGGCGAGCTGTGTAAACACAAAGTTATGACTAAGCGTCTTACTTATCCCGGACGTGGTAGTTGCCATGTTTTCCCAAAATGTCCTCGATACCCGCCATCGTATGATCCATTATCTAAGAATTAAGAGATAGGCGTTATTTATCTTTCAGTTCGGCGAGCAACGTCAGGCGTCACGGGTCCGCGACAGGATTTGCTGCGTAATGTACGCGGGCAAACGCAAGCGAAATCATATGTATCAAAGTCCCGATAAAAATTGCCGCTGTACACACATTCTGCGGCTACGACAATGACTAACGGTATCCCATTTCACAATTCGACCCTATTCTTCATATCGGAACTGCGGCTCTGTCATTTCCGCTGAGGAGTGATACCGGGATCGGGATTCGAGGTAATAAGGCTCCGTTATCGCGTCGATCTTATCGAATCTTTGCGTGTCCGTGTACGGGTCCCTGAGCGATCGCTTCGTTTTTCCCCGGCAGCGACAACGAGTTACAGCGCGATAGCGCGAGCGACAACCGAGATGACCCGTCGTGGATCCAACGTACCCTCTCGTGGATCCTCTCGTTCATCGTCGGCTTCCTCTTCTCGGCCCTCTTGACATTGAGGATTTTCACGAGGGGTTTGATGGTGATCCCCTAAAAATAAGAGCGCGTTACACACAGGGCGTCATCGCGGGACGCGCCCACTCCCGGCACGGATTATCGGCGCGGAGCGAGGCGGCTGATAAAACGCTTGACGCAAAAGTGTATGCTCAAGTGTGTGCAACACGGAGATATTAGGTTTCCGATCGATCGCGCGACAAAGCACACGTGCGGGGCACACGAGCCTCTTTTTTTGCGGCCGCAGGGCATCTTTGTATCGCCGCTCATTAATCGTCGTTCAAACGGACGATTCTTCTCTCTCCTCGCCGTTCGCCGTTCCCGATCGAGCAATCTCGCCTCGCACTCGGGTACGCGTGCCACCTTTGGCCGCGTCTCAAAATACGCGCGAGTCATCGGTTCCGTGAAAGACACCGCTGACTCGCGGGCCCGGCTTACGCGTCGTGTTACGTAACGCTCACGTGCGCTTCGGGCACTCGTCGTCCGCGGTCGATCGCGATCTTACCTGGATGAACACGGTGAAGTAGATAACGGCGATGGTGGTGGTGACGAACATGGGCTGCAGGGGCACGTGCTGGCGGTCTATCAGGAGCACCAGGGCGAACGCCACGGCGCCGCGTAAACCGCCGTAGGACATGACGAATTTCTCGACCTTGTCCAATTTGTGCAGCCGAAACTGGTTCGCCAGCGCAGTCAGCACTATCACGCCTGCGAACGCAAACCCGCGCGTTACACTACACCCGCAACGTCCCCTTAAAAAACGCGCGGCGTTATTCGATGCACCGCTCTCGCGAAAAGTGGGGTAGAATTTCCTCGAGTCCGAGCCACGGTGTCCTCTTTGCGGCTAGAAACATTCTATTTTATTGTCAATAAGTACGTTTCAAAATTTGTGTGCAAATATTGTACAATCGTGTATGGTCAAGAAACTTTTTTAAGCGTTTTTATTTATTTGTATAACATTGATTTCTAGACGCAAAGAGCACATTGTAGATCAGGCTTAGGCTAATATTGTATTTGTCGTACGATAAATTTTTTTTTTTAAGTGCATTGATTGGCTGCAGGATAGTCAAATTCCCGAGTATCTAGAAATTTTCTATTCGGCAGCTAAATCAACACGCTTGAAAAATTTGTCGCACGACAAACGGAATACTAGCCTTAATCTGCATTTCTGTCATGTACTTATTTCTTCTGATGTCGTTACCTCTGTAGTTTAGAGCGTTATAGCCTCGGTTTTTTTTAAATCTCGAACGATTAATTTAATTACGAGGTGCCGTTAATTGCCTATTATTAAAGCGCGAAACACCGAGCGTGCCGATGTAATAATGCGCGTAATGGAATGCGCGGCATCTCAGGCCTGCCCTCATCTTTCCGCACTTTCCACGCGGTCAAGTGACAAATTGTCCGGTTAGAACAAGAAGCCATAAGCGAAGCGCGCCGCTCGCGAGTGACGTAAGATACTCGTGTAAGCAGGAGTCAATTGTCTCAAGTCCCATTATGATTTCATCGTTTAACCATATCGCTTTACACGCCATTCCTGCTCGCCGGCGAAGCGATGCCCTTAACGCCCGTCCAGCTGGCCCGGTCAAGGCCCGCGCGATCGTGTAAGAATTCTTCGACATGAATTCGCTATTATCACGCTACTTTTTCCCGTTTCCCCCTCTCTTCGCAGCGTTCGCCCAAACTTTTTCCACGCCAACAGCCGCGCGAGCCGATTTTCCCCACGTTGCCCGACTTCGAAACTCACGCGGGTCGTAATCCCTTACAGTGCGCGTGGAATTGCATCGCAAAAATATCTAGTGGCTTTAGAAACTATCGTCGCAAATACACGCAACTCTTACGAAAGAGCACACTGCAGTTCGACAACGTAATCCTTCGTATATCACGTAACAGCCATTCAAAGGCAGCGAACGCCAGGCGCAGGTAGGAGGATCCTTCCCTTCTTCGATCCTCCCCGTCTCGATCGAAGAGAATTCGAAGATCCGGGACTTTCGCTTACCCACGGCCCGATAGACGGAGCAGAAGACTATCGTCATGACGACGAACCACGTGTTCCAGTTGTGAGCGTTGTTCACCGTGGCGACGCCGAGGAACATGAATATGATGGTCTCCGAGCTGCTCGACAGCATCTTCATCGTGTACTTGACGGTCGTGTGGGACTTGTGCGATATATTGGCCTCAACGTAATTCTTCATGGTGATGCCGCAGAAGGTTATTCTGGAAATAATGGGACCGCGGATTACGGGATGCGCTGTTCACGCAAAGCGCTGGGCCTCGCTAACCGAGAACCTCGTACGCGGAGGCTGATGGCAGAGAACAATCCTTAAACGCTTGAGAATGTCTCAGTCGTAGACGTAGGGTAAGGCAGAGAGAAACGTAAGTCGTGAAAGGCTATTGTATACGACTTACGTTTCTCTCTGCCTTGCCCTACGTCTACGACTGAGACAGTCTCAAGCGTTTACGGATTGTTCTCTGCCATCAGCCGAACGCGAGTAATCGCAACGGACGTAACTGCGGGAATCGTGCCATAGAGTTTGGAACTCTATTCGGCACTGATCCATCTAGCGTCGCTTCCGCGGCGAATTCGTGCCGTTTATTTCAGTTCCTTGTAATTTCTGCACAGTCGTGCCAGGATCGGTGCAACAAGTTGTTGCAAGTTATTCTTGAAATTGATACCGTCGTTCACCGATAGATATTTAATAATCGGGGTTTTAGTGCTCCCGACAGTGTTCGTTGGGTCGCGATAGAGACGAGTTTTCGGATTTCTCGATTTTTACAGCGATCGTATTTGCCGGAACGCCTCGGCGGGGCTGGAGATGCCAAGGCGACGTGTCGAAAGGTCGCACAGAAAAAAGAATATGCTTCTTTTGAAAATAATCTTCATTGATTATATTGCGTTGAAGGGAGAAAAACTTGCGTCAATGAAGCAATTTTACATAATTAGTCGACAAAAATACATGCCTGTTATTTAAGAATAATTTTCTTGAACGGAAAGGAAACAATACTGGATAAAAAATATCATCTTCAAATCGAAGGTTACGATGACTATTGGTAAAATAATAATTGCGTTCTCGAAGTGACAATTATAGTACTTAAAGAAGAAGATAGATCGTTGCGTCTATGCAAAACAACGAACGCGTTAATTTGACATTGATTATATT